ACAAGTAGATGTAGTAGGTTCGAACTGAAAAGCGATAGTTAAGAATACGTCCTACTTAGATAAGGCATAAAATACAAATCTAACAGGATAGAACAATCACAGTAGAACTAACAAGATCACAGCGTGAAACAAAAAGACGTGACAATTCATACTTGAAACTAATCAAACTGAGACGAAAACAACTCTTGTCGTAACAAACGAAGATATCAACGGCTATCGCCAAAATAGCTAAATATAGCGTGAAAGAATCACAATTTGGTAATCATATGACAATAAGCCTTAGCAATAGTAGAGCTGTGAAAGTGATTTCAACAAAACCTAGATAAACTAAATGAAACCTTTTCGTGATAAAGAAAAGAGTAACAATTCGCTACTTAGCAAATAACTACAACAATGAGAACTTACGTACTTTGGTTGACGACCCGCACCAAAAGGTAGCAGAGAGACAGCGAAATACACTTGAAATAGTAGTAACTTGGATACTCTGACCGTAGCACGGTAGCCGGTTTAACTTCACTAACAATCTCTGACTAAAAGAAGTTGTGCGTCGTCTTTTGTTGCCTATGCTACGTGAAAAAACCTAGGGGGTTGTGAGAAACGTGGCGCCCACAATAAAGACGACTTCCTAGCGGCAAAATTATTACATACGTGTGAAAATCATGATTTTATGAAAGCTCTGTTTTTGAAATCACATAGTTGGCTTGAATAATAACTGATAATAAATCAGTAGGAAGTTACATAGGAAATTGATAAATGATCGGCGTTTCAAAACTAACGATAGCAATCAGATGTTACTCGTGTGACAAGACTTTTCAAGTTCATGCTAGCCTCGATTACCCGGCCCAATAGCCCCAGGGGATTATGGCTAAGAGTGAAAAGTCAAGTAGCCTCGATTACCAGCCGCTGTTTAGGAAGTGAGCCCGTGGTTCTTCCCCAAAGGATCGATAAAAAATCATGGAACGCTTGGCGCTGTAGTCAGCTTCTTCTCGCAGGCCCAGACCGGAAGATTCCTCTTAGCTGGGCACCTTGGGGGTGAAGCGCGAGAAGAAGGCTGGGCGACACCCACCCACGAGCGCATCCACGCCCAAGATGAGTGTGCGCTCTAGGTAACAGGAAATAGAAGACCTGAATTCTTGCACTTAACGATGAAACAAAGTCAAACTTTATCTATAGAAAAAAAAACCGTGAATAAAAGAATGCTTTCGTTTGAAGTCTGTACTCTTAAATATGTTTATAACTTACAGCTCTGGTCGCTCTTCTCCTGTCTGTTAATGGTTTCTCTGATAACTGTTTCAGGCAGGTGTACCTCGACATCGTTTTACAAATTCCAATTCTTTGGCACGCTCAATTGCGTACCAGTTACAAGACAACGTTATCTCGAGAGACTAGTCCCAGTCTTCTCTAAGTAAATGTTTTAAAACACGGCAAATCAGTCGAATTTCAACCGACACGTATCGCGTAACACTAGGGAACTTAAGCAAACCACGACGACGACGGCAACGAGAACGACAGCAAACAAAAGGTTTAATGAGCAAAACAGTAGCTCTGCAGTTATAAATCTTTGTACATGTTGCTGTCCTCTGTAAAACAGAAACGTAAAATGACGAACGCGAATGACGACGGCTAATTTTTCGTACTTCCATCTGGAATTGAACGCTGCCATTTCATGTTTCGCCTGAGCACATTCTTAGAGCCATTGGCGTGCTGAACAGATCTAGACAATTGCGAATTTCGCTGGTAAAATAAAAATTCATTTTTGACTAGGCGTCGTCCTCGGCGTCGCCGTCGTCGTTGCTTAAGCTCCCTACTATCGCATGACGCGTGAATGATCACGTACGCTGATGACTTGAATTCGCACTGTAATTGTACGGTGAACTTAGCTGGAAGTACGATCAGACAAGACTCCTCTGTTCCCTGTTTAGCAAATATAACATTACTTTTCTGAACACTGGCTGTTTACACAATGGCCATTTAGCGACCTTTAGTAGGACAAATAAAGACCCGCCGAGCTTCCCAAATTAACATTGCTCGTCAACGCAGTTTTCAGTGATAATCTGGAACGAAACGTGGCATTCATCGATAAACTAATGGAGGAAACATTTAAAGTCATCTATCACCGGCTTAAAAGTAACTATCATACCTCCGTTCGTTGGAAACGCTTTCTAGTCGAAATAGGCGAGGAAGTTCTTCAATTCTTCGCGGAAATCATTTGATGAATTAAAGAATGACGGCTGTTGTTGTCTCCCGACTTGAAGTCTGATAACTGACGTTGCAAACGTTGCTTGGGAAGGTCAGAAAGCAGAGGCTTGATGATAACTCATTTATCAACAAGTAATGGCTCACTTGACAGCGTGTCATCTTATAAGTTATCCGCCGATTGTCAGAAAAACAAAAGGTCAGCCAATTTGATTGCAGTATTACCAGTACACTAGAGTTTATCGTCGACGGGTGCGGGACAAAACCCTGTGTTCGATTTAGACAAACGTCGTCACACACGATTTTGAAACCACTGAGAAACACGCAGCAGCGCAAAAAAATGAATAACGTAGACGGTTAAAAAATCCCCGAGGCGTTTTGTTGATAAACTTCTGTTTGAGGTATTTTCGTGACGTTTTCACACAGCTAGATTGATGGACCACTTGCTTTTTCCTGAATAATTTATTATTTTCCTCACGCTATTTTTGCCAATCAAGTACTGGGAATATTGTTCTTTATTTATCACTCACTGAGTCCCTAGAGAAAAAGTTAAACCAAACGGTTTTAGAACTGCAGATGACCCTGTAAGAGGCCCCGCCTGGAAATATTCCATCTTCGAATTTACCATTTATCACTCAATAAAATTCTTAGCTTTTGAGACATTCGCGAAAAAAAAAAAAAAAGTTAAAAAAATATGAATCGATCACCTTATGATTATTATTAATTAATATGAAAATTGGCCAAATTCTACTTACGTTTGTAAAAGCCACTATTCCGTAAAACAGCGCAATTTTTATACTTTCTTTTGAAAGCTCAGCAGTGTTTTTCGACGGTTTCAGCTTTCTTTGAAGAAGTGCCAACTCGGGCTTTATGTCAAAGTCCACACATGTAC